CACATGGGAAGTGAGTGTAGTTCCAGCTGCCTGGAAAATACTGAAGGGGCTGATTCCTGAGAGAAACTCCTGGAAAATTCAAAGAGAAAGCAGATTCTTGTGTAAGGAAAGACAGCTGGATCCATTTTTGTGCAATCAAGGAGTGATCAGTGGGAACAGAATGTTCCTGTGTACAATACTCCTGGAAACTGTGACCTTTCCCACCTTTCCTGGTTGATTCCTTGAGGCTCCTGAAGGAACTTTGCACACGAGGTCTGTTAGTTGGGTTTTTGTAAATCAAATTCATATATCCTCCCTGCTTGCAAAAAAAAGCAAACCCTCAATCCTATTAGGAAGAAGATGTGGAATTTGCTGCCTCACCTTTGGCTTCAGGCAATCAAAACCCATTTATATGACATCCTTCAGCATCCCTGGAGCTGCGTGAGCCACAAACCTAATTAATTTAACCAAAGGGGGCAAGGAGGGAATGAAATGTTGAGTACAACCGGGAAGAAAAACTGAGATGAAGGAGGCCTTTACTGCCATGGACTTAACTTTTTGCTCTGGTTTTGCTCAGATTTCCAAGGAAGTCACGTGTTCCAGCAGTTCCCATCGTGGCAAAGTACCCCTTGGTTTTTTTATAAGCCACATCACTCAGAAAGCAAGTGGAATCACTGAAGGAGTGATGCTGGCAGGTAGTTTGCTTCCAGCATCCTCTTTGCAGAGAAGGAGGAAACTGTGTTTGTTCCAGCCTGGGCCAAATCCAGGCTTGCAACCTCAAAGGGTCCATACAAAACTGGAAAGAACAGCTGTAATTCTAAACAAAAAGGGGGATTAATGGTGTTTTTCCCACTGGAGTTGTGGAGCATAGCACAGACCCCTCTGCCAGCTCTGGGATGGGGGGGTTTATTTTCCCTTGGCATCAGGAGCAGGGAAAGCTGGGAGAGAGTGGTTTCTCCTCCATGTCTCTGCTCCCAGACTCCACCACCTGCCCGGAGGGATCCACCCAAATTCCCCGAGACCTTAGGAGGGTTGATGGAAGACAACAAAACTTCCAGAAAGCTCCCCCAGGGTGTGCAAAGCCTCTGCAAAGAGAGCAAACCCTTGCCCTGGACTGGCACTGCGCCATTTCTCCTCCTCCTCCTCCTCCTCCTCCCAATCCTATTAGTATTAGGGAGGGATGGAGCTATAAGAGGAAAAGCCCATCTTTAGCAGCAGTGCTGACAGCTTGCCTTTTAAATCTTTAATAAGCACAAGCTTGCACAGCCACTCTGCTGCTCAGCACATGGAAGCAGCCACCCAGTGCCCTGCAGGGCTGCTGGAGGCTTGGGAAGCACCTGGAGAACCTCAGCTGCAGTTCTTGCTCCATCAGAAAGCCTCCACATGTGTGCCAGGAACCTGCATTCCAAGCCTTGTCCTGTGTGGAGCTGTTCATCCCAGAAGGGTTCGCAAGGCCCGAGTGACAGGGATTCAGCTCCTCCAGGTCTCAGTTTGGGACTGCAGATGGTCCCTCTGCTTAACTGGGGGGCAAAAGTGGCCCCTCTGGGACATTAATGAGAAACATTAAAAGAAGCACTGAACATAGAGTCTTTGCCAGAGTCTCTGGGTGGAGAACATTGTTCTGGGAAGCAGAAGGCAGGGAAGAGTCAGGAATTGTGTCTCAGAAACTGCAATGAATGAGGGTGCTGGGGCATGCTGGGGTCTTGCTGCCCTCTCCTGGAGGCAGCTCCTCCTTCTGGACCAGGGGATGGCTTGTGGAGTTTGAGCATGGCCAGGATGTCTGCAAGGCAAGTCCTTGGCATCCAGGTTTCTGGTAACCACAAGCCACAGACACCTCAGCTCTCTGTCCTTTGGAGGCTGGAGCCCCCAGTTCTAGCCCTTCTTCCCATGGAGAGGTGGAGCAGCTTTTGGTTGTATCCCAAATCAGGGGGACCTTGGCCAGACTTTTCACTGGAAGAGCAGAGGTGGTTAAATTGTGTGTAAATGGAATTAGGCACTGCCAGAGGGCAGGGTTAGATGGGATATTTGGAAGGAATTGCTGGCTGGAGGGTGGGCAGGCCCTGGCACAGGTTGCCCAGAGAAGCTGTGGCTGCCCCTGGATCCCTGGAAGTGTCCAAGGCCAGGTTAGAGTAACCTGGGCTGGTGGAAGGTGTCCCTGCCCATGGCAGGACCTGGATGATCTTTGTGGGGGATGATTCTGGGATTCTCTGTCTCGCAGAAGCAGCTGCCCCTGGGCTGGGCAGAGCATGTGGAAATGGAGCATGTACTGGATTTATTGCTCTGTGTGCCAACAGGATGATCCAGTTTAGTCATGGAGAGGCAAATCCCTTGTATGGGGCAGGAACTGCAGCTGGATCCGACGCCTTATCTGTGCTCTAAGGCAAATTTAAGTGTCTGTGCAGAAATGTCAGGGAAGAAAACGAAGGAAGACCTGAAGCACTTAATCTCAGTTTAGGATAAACACTTTGTATTTCCTCACTGTTTGCAAATTCATGTAGATGAAACAAGATCTGGAAAGCCAGTGATGAAAAGGTTCAGGAAAGAGGCAGGAGAGCAGCACCAAGGAAGGAGAAAGAACAGCAATATGTGGTGGGAGGCTGGGGGAGGGGATTACAGACACTGCCCAAAGCTGAAGGATCACCCTAAGAAGGGTGTGGGAGGCATGGGAGGGTCTCAGCAGATGTTCTCCTGCTCACTCCCCAGCCAGGCACCCACCGTGGTGCCCTGGGAGTTGCTTTAGGTTCTATTCATATCCAGATGTGGAGTGTGGTGACCACACACCACCCCAGGCCCTTCTCACACTCCCTCCACATCATTTGCCTTCTCAGATCCTCTTCTTTGGGTCTTGGTTTTTCAGGCAGCTCCTGGCTCAGCCTGCCTGTTCCCCAGCCTTCAGAAATGGAGCACAACCCCAAAAAACCCATGTCGTCTTCTGAGCCCATCCTGGACCTCAAGACAGACACGGCAGAAGCAGTTACAGGTGAGAACATCCCTTTGCTGCCCGGGTGTCCCAGTCCCACCATGCAGAGCCAGGGGTCGTGTCCATGGACCTGCACTCACACCCAGGCACTCCACAGGGATGTGTGTTCCTGTCACAGTCTCCCCCTCTTCCTCTTGTATCCATTCCTTCACCACAAATGGCTTGATTCCGTCCTGATTCCGGTTGTGCCAATGCCAAGATGAGCTCAGGCTTGGAGTCAAAGGCGCACTGGCTTGTGCACCAGGGCTGGTGAGAGGCAGATGGCACAGGGGGACACTGTGTCTGGCTTGGCACTGCCAATACAGCCTTTTCCCACCAGCTGGGAAGGTGGGATGTGGTTCCAGGCTCCAGGTATCCAGGCTTCACAGGTCTGCTCCAATGGAAGGTGTCCCTGCCCACAGCAGGGGTCAGAACTAGATGAGCTTTAAGATCCCTTCCAACCCAAACCGTTCCAGGTTTCCATGGTTCTAAGATCCTCCCCACCCTGCTTTCAGCCTGCTGTCCATCCTGGGCTCTCTTGTTTAGCCCCCATGACACTGATGCTCAGCTTTATCCCTGGAGAGTGGCAGGGAACATTCAGGTCCCAGCACTGCGAGGTCTCCACTCATGAACCTCCATCCTGCACAAGGTGGGCCCTCCAAGCCCCCCCTGTCCCAGACGTTCCTCTGCTCTTGTGGACTTGCTGCATGTTTAAATAAGCCATAAGACAACACAGGGACACTGCAGGCTCTTCCAACTCAACAAATTTCCCACACTGAGCTGCTTCCAGAAACAAGTTTCCCACTGCGTGTGCCGTGTCAGGGAGCAGATGGAATGCTGAACCACCTCCCCTGGGCGGCAGCAATTCTGCTCTCCCCAAAACCAGGATGGCAAGCCATGGCTAATCTTCCTCTCCCACATGAGCACCCTTGACCTCCTCCTGAGGAACTGCAGGACAACCTCAGCTGCTTCCTGACAGTGCAGAAAGTAAAAACACCTCTTTATTGGGAAGCCCCACCAGGAGCCACGAGGATGGAAAGCCCAGGGGAGCTGCTTTGCTGGACTCCCCTGTCTTTCATTTGCTCATTCAGAAGGAACCCAGTGAAGCAGAAACTCCACTGGTTGGGATTCATTCCTGAGATTTGTAACCACAGAACACTCCACATCCTTTCCTGGTGTTACAGCCAATGACCAGGAGAGCCCAAGGAACCCTTTTCTCCCCAGAAATCAAGGCCAAACAAACCCCTTTCTCCCACAAATATCAACACCAAACAATTCCTGTGCTTACTTTTTTTTTCATTTGCATGATTTATTCCCTCTATAATCATTCCAAAACTTTCAGAATGCTGCCATCCCACCTCAGGGATGTGGCCAGTGATGATTTTCTGTGGCTGGGGATAAGTTTGCCCTGGAAAGAAATGGATGGTCTGAGAAAAGGACCCAGCACAAAGTCTGTCAGTGGTGGCAGGAGCCAGTTGAGTCCTCTCTTAGGTACATCTGGGGCATCTTTGTGGCTGCTGGAGTGAGGTTAGGAAACATTTCAGCTGGAAAAGAAACCTGGCAGCTCTTCCAGGCCATCAGCAGGAGTGGGAATAACTGATATGATCCCTCACACTGCAACATCCATGCAGGGCTCAGCGATGGTTTGCTCCAGGTGGACATTCCCAAAACTAGTTCATGCCCCTGGAAAAACCTTCAACTTGAAGGGTTCAGCAAAGGGGTGGCTGTTCCTCACCTGCTGCCCTGGGGACTCCAACCCTGGGAAGCAGATCAGGTTGACCAGGAGCTGCTCCTCTTGACAGGGGTTTGTCACACACACTATTGATGACTAATTCCTGCCAGGCCTTGGAGTCATGGAATCATTTAGGTGGGAAAAAACCCTAAGACCATCAAGACCAACCATTCCCCAGCACTGCCAAAGCCCCCACTGACCTCTAGTGCCACATCCACACAACTGTTAAATCCCTCCAGGGATGGGCACTCCAGCCCTGCCCTGGGCAGCTGTACCAGGGCTGGACAGCTAGAAGAAAGGGAATTAGACCCATCTCATCCCAAAAGAGAGGCAGAGCCTACAGCCTGCAAAATGTTTCCCCTACTTTCCCTTTCTCCCACTCTTTGCACCTTTTCCTGCTCAAAGAGAGCTTGAGGCCAAGATAGCGCTCATTGGAAAATATGCCAGAGTCTAATCCAGCCCTTGGAAGCCTCCCTTCCACTTCCCAGCTGCAGTTTTCCCCTTCCCATTTCCTTTCTGGAGCGGGAAGTCCTTTGGGCACCGACTGTTTGTGGCTTTGGAGTGTGGTCTTTCCCAAAAGCTGAGGAATTGCCGGATCAAACCTCCCTGTGCAGGTGTGGGAGCCAAGGCCAAGCCGAGCAGTGTGAGGGGAGGTTGAGCTTCCAGGGGAGATTCCATGCCCAACATGGAATCCCAGGGTTGGAAAAGCCCTCTGAGATCATCAAGGCCAACCCTTCCCCAGCAGTGCCAAGGCCACCACTGCCCTGTGTCCCCAAGTGCCACATCCCCACAGCTGTTAAATCCCCCCAGGGATGGGAACTCCAGCCCTGCCCTGGGCAGCTGTGGCAGGGCTGGACAGCCCTTTCCAGGAAGGAATTTTCCCAGTGTCCAACCTGCCCGTCCCCTGGCACAGCTCGATACCATCTCGGATCACATTTTGAAGGCATCAAAGCCCAGGATTTGGGAAGACCTGG